AAGAATTGTGCACTACCAGTCAGGCTGGGTGGTATTTACCCTGGCTTGCTGGGACATGGTTAAATTGTGACATAACCACCCAAAAGCAACGTGTTTTTATTGCGCTAGACCATCAAATGACCGCGGTGGGGTACTACCATACATACCGTCCTCCTTGTGTGAAAGAATCGTGAGCACCTACCGAAGGGCTGATGGTCTATGCGAACAGTTATGGTGTTCGACTCACCTCACACGCTTCGAGCTCACACGCTCGTGGGCGTCGCCTATCGCAGTTCAATTAGCCGCTGCTTGGACTGGTTGATATATGCCTCGGCTACATGAGTCCCCTCCAATTTCTGCTCTTGTGCGATCTTAACTTACCTCGACCACAGTGGCTTGAGTCTGATGTTTTACGCGCAATTGAGAAGTTGAAAGGAAGTTCGCGGAGATCATATTTGAAACTCTGGCCACGTAGCACCTCAACCAACTAACACGCATAAACACGCCCTCGACTTCATGTTGCTTAGATCTGTTATTGACCAGCCGTAAGAAACGTGTACATGATATGCGTTCTTGAGCCCCTGGGAGTGAGTGACCACTGGATGATCATAGCCAGTCTGGAGCTTTTGCCGCCATATTCTCTTCCATTGGAGCCAGGATAGAACTGCTGGAAATTGAACTTTAATGGCCTCACTCTAGCCTCGAACCAGATTGAGCTGTCCTTACCAAGGGACTCCTCTGCTGAAACCTGTTGGATTATCATTAAAGAGGGAGTAGAGTTGTTGTGCAACTTTTTCCCCCTCAAGTATTGGAAACCTGGACCAGTTAAGCCACACTGACTCCACAGGGAGTGCAGCAAACTGGCTGGACGTCGACGCAGAGTATGGAACAAATTCCTGGTATCCGGCTCTGAGGAAGATTACGGGGCATAGAAGAAGTATGGAAATCTCTGCAACAACGCAAAAACGCAAATGCGCCGGAACTTAGAAGAGCAGCTTGCAGCCGCGGAAAAATGGCTCGCAAGTAGATCTTGCCTACGTGAAGCCACACTTGAGGCTTGCAGGCAATGCGCCAGTGTTGGAGCGTTCAGACAGACACCCCTAAATGCGAGCGCTGATCATGCGTCCGCATTAGCGGCGCACTTCATTTCAGTATTTGCAAGTGACCAGCTGTCGTACTGAGTTCGACGTGTACCGCTCCTAATGAACTAAACAGCCTAGATAACAGCATTGATGATGTACGCATGATGTTGGCAAATCTTGACGGGACGAAGTCTGCAGGACCAGCTGGAAACCACTCACTGATCCATTATTGCTCATCATCTCGCCTTCCGTGATTGAGCTATTCAACAGGATGCTATCCAATGGTTCATTGCCAAGCGACTGGAAATGCTTAGTCACAAAGCCAATACCGAAAGGCGGTGACCCAATCAAAATGCACAACTACCGGTTGATCTGCCTGAAGGCTGTTTTGGCTAAAACAGTTACACTGGTCGTGAAGAAAGGTATTCTGCAGCTTCACTAGTCGAAAAGCCTTTTGACGCCTTCACGGCATGGTTTCGTGAGAGGTCGCTCACGCAGGACCAGCCGTCTCTGGAAGGGACAAGAATGGTTTCAAGTGCGGAACCAGGGGAAGCCAGTCGATGTCATTTACAATAATCCCAGAAAGGCTTTTGACAAGATGAGTCATGAGGTCCTCCTCTATAAGCTGAGGATTTGCGATATCCGCAACACTCTGCACCAAGTGAGCAGGAATTTCTTTGTTAGTCGAAAGTGGACGGTCCAGGTCGACAACTATCTGACTGACTGGTATCCCTCTACTAATTGCGTGCACCAAGTCACAGTACTGGGGCCTATTTTGTTCTTTATCCAACTAAACGATGTGCATGTCTTCGTCGTTCGCCTTGTGTGTTTTTGTAGATGACTTGAAGGTGTGGTGTGTAAACAGCACACACGATGTATTTGGCCTACTTCAAAGTCATCCTGACCGCATCTCTATGTGGTCCCCAAAGGACAACCATCCGACAAACCCCGTTAAGACTCCAGTCATGAAGCTGGGCATGGGTAGACGCTGTTGAACCTATACTGTCAACTGCTAATCGCCGCATTCCGCGCCATTCGCTCACTCTCCCGCTGCGACCTGAAATGCTTGAACAATATGAACAGAATTTGCGATAACGGACTTTGTATGCTCTGGGCGCTCAAGTGTGGAAGAGGTTACCACTTGCCTTTTTGTTTCAATCATCCTACCTATGGTAGATTTCGGCTTACCAACATACTGTTGCTCATCCGGGACGAGGTTGAAAGGATTGAACGAGTGCAGTAGGCTCATGCCCACTGTACACGATGTGCCATACGAAGAGAATAGGACTTAACGTCCCGTTATATCGTCGACTACGAGTTGACTTCATCATGACGCACCGGATATTACATAATGGTCAATATCCAATTTCGTGGCCGCTGCTCCATCCGCGCACACCTAGCAGCACATAAGGACAACGGTACAAATTTGTAAAACTGGATATGAAGCGATTCGCTCACTATTTTTGCTTCGAACGGAGTGTGTTGAATACATAGAGCAATCAATTACTCCTTGTAGTCATGACAAAGTCGGTGCCGGAATTCAAGAAATTCCTGGACGAGCACTTTGCCCACATGAAAGGTAGGGAATGCTCTCCAACATAAGAGGTCATTGTAGCTTAAGAATTTTATATGCTGTTGCACAGAGCTCACTTTTTGCTACTTCCATCCAGTAAATATATATATATATATATATATATATATATATATATATATATATATATATATATATATATATATATATATATATATATATATATATATATATATATATATATATATATATATATATATATATATATGGAATAATGGCTTTATACTGGTCAATAATCTTATGCTTAACAAGTCTCGTAGGGTGGTTCTAATTATTGCACGGTTGTTTGGTTTCCGTGCGCACTGATTTTATGAGTGTTCTGATAGGAGGCGTGTATGTGCGGCTGTGAGTATGGTAGATCGAGAATTAACAGGTACTTATTAGATTCTTTTCCCCGGTGGTTGGACCGTTGGTTTTGAGTTAGTAACGTCACCCTGGTTCTTGCAGTACACATTACTGGTGGATTCGAGTGCTCATGCACACGATGGTTCTAGGCGTATTTACAATAGCGTTCTAACGAAATTGGCATTAATTAATGCTATTCGAAAATGCTATTTCGCCACATGTATTGAACTGCCGTATGGAAGTAACGCATTCTAGAATCCTTGAATTACAGCGAACTTGTCAGAACTTTAAAAAGAATAAATGCGGTATTACACTTAGAAGCATACGATAAAGGACACGCTGGTAGTGAAAGTCCTGGCTACTTTGTTATCTAATAGGGTAGCGGCGGCTCCATAACACATTACGATGCAGTGGAAATTGCTAAAACATAGGAAAAGAAATTATCCGGTGAACTAGTGTTATTTTAAAGCTTACTCAACGGATTTTGGGATAGCAGTTTCCAGGTTCTTCTAAAGCCTTCCTGATGGTTCTCCGTTTGTACTTGCTACGAACAGCCAAATCAGGAGACCGAGTACGAACGAACAAAATTTGCGACCTCAAAAACCATTCACCAACCTATCAGCAGATATTACTGATGTAGTTGTCTGGCTAGGCTGGCCACCTCTGCTTCCTCAGTACAGGATACAATGCGCAACACGCTTTTCTGTATGAGTGCCATGCTACCGAAGGTCCTGTCTACAAACGCATTGTGTATTAGTGAGAACACTATCTGGCAGATGGCTAACTGAGAGCGCCGAACACCTGCTTAGTTAATTAATTATCCGCGCAGCTAATTCTGAATGTGGTCGAAGACTTCTTTATACTGTTCTCAATAACGCAGCAGGTGGTGAGACTGTGGCATGTCTCACAATTGACACGAATATATGCGCTCAATATATATTAGATATCTGCTGGTCTTTCGGGACGCTTTTAAAATTCCCGAGCAGCGCACCTGCTGTTTTATCAACTTGAACCAGTAGCAAAGAAGTTGGATAGAGATGAAGTATTCTACTCTTAGATTTATGCATAAAAATTGCTATGTAAGCCTTATATATGTGGTCATTTACTGTCTCTTGTTTCTACCGCTGTGTGCTAGCGAGGTTTATGTCGACAAAACAGTGGCAACCGTTACTGCATGCCTTATAATGCAGAGACATACTCTTCTTGTGGTTTCAGTAATATAATTACCCGCAGATCCACAAGCATCACCTACAGCGCTGTACCGTCGGTGAAACTGTGAGCCCCTCCTTGACAATAAAATACTTACCACAGAAGTTGTTCCATTTCAAGTGAACGAAATATTCCCTAAATTCTGCGGACTAACGTTCTATTTCTCCCAACTGAGGTACTCCACCTTACCATATTGTTTGATTCTACTGGGGATTACAACATTTGTATTGTCCCATTAGACGTGCTGGTCTTTTGAGTAAGAACCTCCAAATAATTGCGTCGTCACTGAGACATCAAACTAGATGGATTGGCATTCCAAGGAAGGATCATATTAACATGTATATATCCAGTCATGTTAATTCTTGTAAGAAACTAACGTTCAAAATACTCATTGGTGATAAAAATATCATGCAAGGGGCCCTGTTTAAATGCAAATCAACTTCTTGACCAAACAACTATACAAAAGCGTACGCGTTCGCACAGCTGCCATCGGTAATTCAGTTATCCCTTGTTGAAAGATCAGAATGTAATCACATGAGAGTGGGAAAATTATTCCGGTGATATTGGCTCAGATAAATGTTTCCAAGAATTGCCCTTTATAAATGCATGACTGTAATAACTTTGAATAATTATCGGTGTATGTGGCAGTTGTGACGCGGCGCATAAACATATACTCGTTTTGACCCGATTCGAAACCGATAAGTAGAACTGTTCTGTGTTGATTGACCGAACTGACACTCAGTTTACTGCATAATTACAACTGAAGGATTTTGTTTTTGCGTTACATATTCCAGATGACAACCCATACTGAAATTATTACCCCGGACTTACGCAAAGCTGACAAACGGACCGCGGCACGCAGGCGATATGTTTACAGAGCATGCGTTCCTATTGTGTGCACCTATTTCCTGTTTATCTCCGTGACTTCTGAGCACGCCAATGATGTCCCCCTGTCCCTCCCAGGTGTGGACACAGCAACCGCTGCACGTCCGGTGATTAACGAGACAAATTCGGTGCCCTCTCCCATCGATTCCCACAGACAGCATGAGGTGTACTTGGCTCCATTCCATGAAGTAATCGGCTCGCATTTGGTTGATCAAAATACGTACCGGTGCGAACCAATAAACCTCGCTCTATGCAGGGATATGTACTACCAGTATACTCGTTTACCAAATATGTTCGATCATGAAACGCAAGAAGAGGCAGGGCTAGAGGTGAGTACCAATTGTGTTGCAACTTATGCGCAGACTAATCGGTGAGAGAGGTTGTAATAATCCGATCTAATGGAAAAATAGTGCCACCGTTGTGATGATGTAGAATACTTTTACCCATTGTGAATTTACCACTGTGTCAGCATGCAGAGTGACAGCATTGGCAAAAGTTGCACTGTTTACTTGTGGTTAATGTATGCGTGTGTGTGTCAGCTTACTTAATGGCTGGGTTCAGATGTATGCTTTAGCTTTGGAATGCTCGTAGCTTGCCTTCAAAATCTATTAAACTCATGCTACCGAAGGAATCAATGGTCTTACCATCGCAGGTTCGATGGTGCCGCTTTTTAGCCTTTTACATGCACAGAATCTACAAATCACAAGCGAGTGGAATTGAGACACAAAAAAGAGCGTTCTGATCTCATCCGTGTCACGAAAACAGGCTTGAGGCACTCGGTCCGAAATGACAGATTTCAGTAAGCGGTGTAGGTGGCTTGTTTGCTTTATGCTTAGAGCCAAACCGGCAGGGTAAGTGATGCGACAGGATGGTGGTGTCCAATCGACTTTGCCTTGAGAAACGATTCCCACTAGGAAACCATCCAAAGAAGTTGAATTATGAATTTTCGGTCATACATTGTAGATACATAGGTAAGAAGAACGCGTCAAGGTCAAACGCTTGAAGTAATTCGCTGGGTATTTTCCGTCCGGTCACTGCAAAGCTAATTAAATTCAGCATTTGGATCAAGCGAATACATCTACCGCCCTAAGGTCTATAATTCCTTGGCATAAACACTTTCCTTAGTTGATACTTGGTTAAACGTCCTGTATGCTGGGGTATTGAATGGCCAATGTCGGCCAGTGACCGAATGATCTACGTGTCTGGTTTTCAACCATAAGGTCCACTAATCGAACCCGCTAAGTTTTGGGCGTCTTAGTTGGATACTCAGCCCTCGCGCGACTTGTGGTGATCGAGTGGCAGGGAAGCGCCGTTACGGCGTATAGCTGGCGATTTTTTTTATTTATTATGAGCTTACCCTCTGCATTGTGACTCACTGACCATGTCATATTGACTGGTTACGACATGTAACTTGTGCACTGCTCAAAATAGGACCGACGGAAGACAGGTAAGCAACATGGACTTTGTTTTGCTTGTAAGTAGTAGGGGGATTTATTAGGTTTTTGTGTAGATTCGTCGCAGTTAAACACAGACAGACAGCCACCACCAATCCAGGAATGCGCCAGACTAAACCCTATCACGTAATCTAAACGACCTATACAAACAGCAGAAACGAACTCACCCCAATTTTTGTCCGGAAATCACAGACAATAACGTTGGATAGTAAATAAAACGGACGGGAACCCTGGGATCGACAAGTTCGCAATTTGCAGTTGTTCACTATTTCCTATTGCCCTTTTTGCCTTTATTTTGCTCACCCCTAATCGATCATCCGTAGGGACATATAAACCTTCGGCTTTATTGTTCGCAAAAAACCACTGACCATGAGGCCACACGTATGTGATAAACATTTGCGAAAAGACAGATGGATAAAACCGCCCAAATATCCACCGAATTATTCCCGGTTTATTCCCGGTCATTGATACCTTCACAAACTATGCTTAGCAACCTAAATCAGCCTGAATTAGTACCCAGGGGTTGCGATCCTGCTTGAATGAATGCAGATCATTGTCTCCAAGATTGAATATGTTGTACGGCTGATAACGAATATAGCCCACCTAACGTTCTGACGAGGGAAACTAGGATGACCATTCATCCGCCATGTACAAGTCTCGATGAGTTGCATCGTGCTCCCGTTGGTCGACCATTGCCCGCCACATCTTAACTACATCAGCGAAGGATCAGAAATCTGAAGCAACCAAACGCGCATGCTAGTTAAATAACACAAGAAACAAACGTGGCCTCAGAGCTGATCCTTGTGGAACTCCACATTCGACATTAATCGGATCGACAGCACATTCTGAAGTTTAACCTACAGTTACCGACACTGCCAAGAATTCGTGATCCACCCATAGACAGGATCCCCAACCCGTAACTTTCGAACAAGCGAAGCGGAATGCGGTGGTCCATGCGGTCAAACGATTTGGAGAAGTCGATATAAATGACATCAGTCCCATTCCCTTTGTTTACCGCATCCGTCTAACTACCAGGTGAAAACAGTAGGTTGTTTGTGCACGGTCACTGTTAACGGAAACCTTGCTGCTACAGTGCTATGTTGCAGCGTTCTAGATGGTGGATGAGATGCTTGTATCCATGCCCTTTGGGAGTAGAGGAGGAGAACCACTAGGCGATCTTTTGCTGGTTCCGAGCGATTGTATCTTTTAAAGTTTGCCTTATTCATGTTTCCATATGCTAGGCACCACCTGTTCACGTGAGCATGTTTGGTAGAAATACCATAATGGTACGGACAGCGTTGTTGTTGTTGTTTCGGTCAGCATCTTCAGATGAATGTCGTTTATTCCAGGAGAACTGTGGATGCGTAATATGAGCGGTTACCTCAGAACAGATGTGATTATGAAAGAGGTATGTGTGAGTGCTGAAACCATGCCGATGGATGTAGGTATTTGACAATAGCGATCGTCTTGTAGGTACTTGGAAGCATTCTGAGTCCTCTGCGCGTTATCAGTGTCACTCCGACTGTAGGGTAAAGTGGCGTGATACCATGCTTCAGTTTGCGAGTACTGTTGACATGCCTAGATGGAAGATTTTTGATTTTGTAAAATTTAAAAGTTAGGTATTGTTGATGAGTTACTCTGCGCTCACTGACAAGCGCATTTCAATGTTTGCGCTGGGTCATGTAGTCGCTACAGGTTTCGGGAGCAGGATAAATTTTACAAGCATACCAAGCGGGCATTCCATAGGGACGTGCATCTCTGAGTTTTCCTTTTAACAAAAGAAATTCACTTGGTGAAATGAACCTGCTTAGTTTTAGATGCGGTTGCAATTAGATCGTGGAAGCCATATATATATATATATATATATATATATATATATATACTAGGGAAGCCAACCATCAAATAAATGTTTTGTAGGATAAGCTTTGTGAATAAAATCAGACCTGTCCTCGGAACCGGCATTCTAACTTGCTTACACCCGAATCTACTGATAGTCTGCAGCGTTGAACGAAAGTGCGCCGTCAGTGTGCTTTGAGTAGGTCAGTAAGTTACTTCGCCGCTTAACCCAGTATCCCAACGTTGTAATGCACACATTGGTTGAAAGAAATTGTACCTAGCCATTATTGAGCGAAAACCAAACCGGCAGACGAACGGCACTTTTGCGAATCACGTAGACCTTTTGGCAGACATGAGCGCAAATAATCTGTCCTAGAAAAGATGACCCCAGGTTGATACACATCATTGCGCAAAATGCCAATACACATGGGACACGGAAAAATTCATATTACACTTCGCAACTGGCTTTTTGTAGGAGCAGTTGGTTCTATTCTCACCGTATTGGTCCATAATTTGGATATTTGTGTAGGTGATGACACTTGACTCGTGTGGAGTTACCGTTTGACTGACGCGATTAACATTGTAATGAATGGGACATACGCGTAGGACTGTTTCTTTCCGTTGAAAGCAGCTACCAGAGTGATTTAGACAGGGTACGTCCAGACTGTTGAGCTAGTTGTCGCCTCCGGTACAACGACAATTTTAAATGGGTAGACAAGGGCTTGTTTTAGAATATGATGGATCAAGAAATCAAGGTGGGTGGCATGCCTAAGACCACATGTGGGGAAATGTTGAACTAGCTGTGAAACGTTAAGCCTTTCGGTGCTTTCGAAGCTGCGAGATCCCATTGTAATTTTTATGTAGGATAACGTAAATTCTGTTTGCGAATTCGACTCCAACGTGTTATGTACCACGAGCAACATACAAACAATAAGTAGTGTTATCCTTTGCTACATGGTTTATGCTTTGTTTACGACCCTCTGCACCCATTGACTAGGTAACTGTTTGGATCAGTGGTGTACTAACTTCTGTCGAGTGAAGAATCAGAGGCTTTGAGAGAGCAGCGGAGTTCCGGGCAGCAGCAAGTATATTTGATTGACATATTCCTGTGCATGGTACCTGATAGGACTGAAAAAATAACAGACAGGACGAAGTTAATGGATTCCACTTGGCTTTAACAGCAACTGTCGATCATACTTCATCTATAATTGTTTGGCCTAGTAGGGAGGACTGGACCACCATAAACATTCCTTCGAAGGATACAATGTAGACGTACGTGGCTTTCAATAGTTCACTATGATACAGTGTGGGTAAAATGCATGAAAGTCTAAGAAGCATAGTTTGGCCAAGAATGTGCACGTATCCGTTTTCCCATTATCCTGCGAACCATGAAGCTTTTGTAGTTATAGACTCTTGCAACTCGACCTCATTCATAAGGAATGTGCGCTACGACTCCTATTTCAAACGCCTTCTAATCTCTGGTTTCAGGTGACTGCTGGTTTATCTGACGGGTTGACTTATGGTCAAAGGTCAATCGTATGTTGTGGGTAATAGGCCGAAGCTTAACAATTCCCACACAATGGTGGTTAACGGTTTTCAAGAAATAAACAAGTATAAGCATCGAATTTGAAAGCATTGAAATTGTAAAGCAAGCATTTTCCTCCTGAATCGTTCGCACAAGCTTTTGCACAATTTGAATTGTCAAAACCTTTAGTTTTCCTAGAAAAACGTGTGTTGGTTGATGTGGCTTGTTTTCTGAGTGTATGTGTGGTATCTGTGTGTTATATGGTTTGGCGCAACGTAATCAGCTTATTGTCGACATGATCTTTGAACACAGCTAACGCAGCGGACGAAATAACAGCTTCTGGGAGAGAACTCCATGTGGCAAACAGGTAGCGGAAAGAAATACTGTTTTTTTTCCCTCCAGCCGGCTGTATTGTTCTCGCAGTTAGAAACGGCGGTCTATCAGTCTGGTGTTTCGGCAAGCTTTAGCAGTTAATGACATGAGTGATTAGGGTTGCTTAAAATCTGGTACACCA